CCAAAACAAATGTGTTTTCTGTTGTTTGATCTTGTATATCCTTTAATAAAATCATAGTTTTTTTTTTTAATTTGGAACTATGCCTTTCTTAAATATATTACTAAATATTCTATATAGTTTTAGGTACTTTTTTTTGAGAATGGATTTTTTTTTCCTATTTCCCTTTCCAAGTACTTACTGGTGAGTATATTTTAAAATTTTTATCTAACCGTCTTATTGTATCATCTTATTAATTTTACAAGTCTTTTGGTTAAATCATTATAGAATAGTATTTTAACCTTTACTTTCTAACTTCATATGCCAGAACTCCCAAAATTACTGACTGGAATATTAATAGAAATTAATCCAGATTTACACCCCGATTTTGATTTAAATTGTTATAGTATTTCACCTTTTGGGAAAATAATTGCTGTTTGTCCTTCAGTAATAAGATATTTTATATATATATTTTTTTTATTTGTTTATTTATGATAGTCACAGAGAGAGAGAGAGAGAGAGGCAGAGACACAGGCAGAAGGAGAAGCAGGCTCCATGCACCGGGAGCCCGACATGGGATTCGATCCCGGGTCTCCAGGATCGCGCCCTGGGCCAAAGGCAGGCGCCAAACCGCTGCGCCACCCAGGGATCCCAAGATATTTTATATTTAAGTAGTTTATTTATATTCCTGTTTAACATAGAGATTTTATTTTATTTATTTTTAAAGATTTTATCCATTTATTTATGAGAGACCCAGAGAGAGAGAGAGAGAGAGAGAGAGAGAGAGGCAGACACACAGGCAGAGGGAGAAGCAGGCTCCATGCACCAGGAGCCCGATGTGGGACTCGACCCCGGGTCTCCAGGATCGCGCCCTGGGCTGAAGGCAGGCGCTAAACCACTGAGCCACCTGGGCTGCCCAACATAGAGAATTTAATAAAAATAGCTAACTGATTATAATCATGCATATCAATCTGTCATTGATTGGCTGTCTAACCTGGAGCCATCTCTGTATTCTTTAGGTATTATTAGGTATTCTTTTAATTAGGCCATAGGTATTATTCTTTTAATTTAATGTAATGACATATGAATTAGATATGTTAGTATTTCCTTTTGAATTTTGCATTTATATTCTTCAGTGAGATTAGACTTTTTCTCTTTTTTCTTTTTTATTACTTCTAGCAGGATTAAGTATTAAAACTATGCTGGATTCAATATAAAATGAACTGAAAGGGCTTTACATATTTACCATGATCAAGAATAGTATATATATAAAAAAAAGAATAGTATAAAAAGCAATGAATGCTCTTTTCTCTTTTTTTAAGAGCTAGGTAACAATTGCAAGTCTAGTCATGGTGCATTATTCTATTTACTCTAGTTACTTTTCTTATGTCTTTTATGGTAACAACCTATTAAAGTTTTATAATTATTCAGTCAATTTTAATAATTTATATTTGCTAGGACATTATTCATTTCATTAAGGTTACACTTGCTATAACAGAATTATGGTTGTATTATCTTATGATTAACTTATCTTGTATATATGGTTGGTGTCCTCTTCAAATTTAATCGTATGTTTTTGATCACTTGTTTTTTTCCTTAATAATCAGGCTGTAAAGGAATTTTGCTATTTTCAAAGAATAATCACTTAGTATTTCTTTCTCCTTTGTTCATTTCAGTTTCTTTGATTCTGGTTTTTATCTGTGTTAATTCCTTCTTCCCGCCTTATTTTGATTTATTCTATTATTCCTTAACTAATTTATTACACTTGGCAAAGAATTATCTTATCAATGAACTAAAAAAGCCTCAATAAGATTGGAGTCAAGATAGTATAAAACTTAATAAAATGAGGTTATTCGGCTTGAAAAAGAAGAACAAAGCCAAAGGAATCATAACACTGGATTTCAAGATATACTACAAAGCTATAGTAATAAAAACAGTATGGTACTGGCACAAAAATGGACACATAGCTCACTGGGACAGAATAGAGACCCCAGAAATAAATCCATGATTATATGGTCAATTATCTATTACAAAAGATGTAATAAATACACCATGAGGAAATGACAGTCTTTTCAATAAATGGTATGGGGAAACTGGACAGCTATGTGCCAAAGAATGAAACTGGAGCACTACACACAAAAATAAATTCAAAGTGGATTAAAGACCTAAATGTGAGACCTAAAAGCCATAAAACTCCTAAAAGAAAACAAAAGCAGGAATCTCTTGGACATTCACTTTAGCAACATATTTACTATGGATATGTCTGTCTCTACAGGCAAGGGAAACAAAAGCAAAAATAAACTACAGGGATTACATCAAAGAGAGAGGAATTAAAAGCTTTTGCCAGCAAAGGAAATCATCAATAAAACAAAAAGGCAACCTCCTGAATGAGAGAAGATATTTGCAAATGATAATGTCCAATAAAGGATTAATGTTTGAAATATATAAAGAACTTATAAAACTCAACACTAAAAAGACAATCCAATTTAAGAATAGGCAGAGGATCTGAATAGATATTTTTCTACAGAAGACATACAGGGGTCTAACAGACACATGAAAAAATGTTCAACATCACTAATCATCAGAGAAATGAAAATCAAAACCATAATGATATACCATCTCACACCATGGCTAGCATCAAAATGACAAGCATCAAAATAACAAGTTGGAGATCCCTGGGTGGCTCAGCAGTTTAGCACCTGCCTTCAGCCCAGGGTGTGATCTCGGAGACCCAAGATTGAGTCCTGCATGGGGCTCCCAGCATGGAGCCTGCTCCTCCCTCTGCCTGTGTCTCTGCCTCTGTGTGTGTGTGTGTGTGTGTGGGTGTGGGTGTGGGGGTGTGTCTCATGAATAAATAAATAAAATCTTAAAAAAAAAAACAATTTGGGGAGGATGTGGAGAAAATGAAATGCTCCTGTTCTGTTGGTGGGAATGTAAATTGGTGCAACCACTGTGGAAAATAGTATGGAGTTCCTCAAAAAATTAAAAATAGAAATATCATACAACCTAGTAATTCCACTGCTAAGTATTTACTCAGAGAAAATGGAAACTAATTTCAAAAGAAATTAGAGGTGCATATACACCTCTGTGTTTACTGCATTATTATTTACAATAGCAAAGATAAGGAAGCAACCCAAGTGTCCACTTACAGATGAATAAAAACATATGTACACTAGAATATTACAGAGCTATAGAAAATAATGAAATCTTGCCGTTTGTGACAACATGGATAGAAGTAGAGGGTATTAATGCCAAGTGAAATAAGTGAGACAGATAAAGACAAATATCATATGATTTCATTTATGTGAAGAATCAAAAAATTAAAAATGAACAAACGAAGAACAGACCCTTAAAAACAGAAAACAAACTAATGGTTGCCAGAGGAGAGGTGGGTGGGAGGATGGGTGAGATAGGTGAAGGGGACTAAGAAGTACCAACTCTCAGTTATAAATAAATAAGTGATAGAGATGAAAAGTACAGCATACGGAATGGAGTTGATAATATTGTAATAATGCTGTGTTGTGATAGATGATGACTATACGTACCTTTGTGAGCACTGAGTAATGGTGTATAAATGTTGTGTACACCTAAGCCTATTCTAAAATTGTTTGTCACCTATACTTTAATAAGAAGATACGATTATTAGGAGATGGGCAGGATACATACTCCAGCTTTATCTCTAGTCATATGTGCCTTTAAGCAAACCACTTAACCTGTCTAAGCTAATCGTTTCTACAATTGTAAACCGAAGAGAGAATACAGTCTCAAGATTCCTGATAGATAACAGATTACACCCAAGAAAATTGATAAAATTTTAAGATCCTTCTGAGAAAAGGAGACTATTTGAGGAATAAGAGACCTTGGAAAAACTGAACTGGAACTCATCGCCTTTAGAAATAATAATATCTAAGAAAATCCAGTTTTGCTATGATAGTGAAATATAATGGAGACCTATGCTTATTCTATGATTGCTTAGGTCATAATCAAGTGAACTACTAAGATGTTTCACAAACATGAATGCCCTAGTAGTACAAGAGCTTCCTAAAGAAGATGCATCTAAGTTATACTGCAGAATGACAGAGACAGGTTAAAAAAAAAACAAAACAAAAACTATCACAACATTAAACCATATCCTCATATTTTTCTTAGAAAAAAATAATCTGGGGTCAAATGGATTTCAGGCACTCCCATTAAACCCTCTAATGTTGTAAACAAAAATCTAGATATATTTATTTACATTTTTATTGTGAAAATTAATCACACTGATACATTTGCAGAGCTCAGGACTTGAGAGGTTGAAAAATACTATTCTAGATTAGGAATTCAACTTTCTATCCTTAGTCTGTGATTAAACTTTTCCATAGTCATATTTTTGTTACTTTGTCTAACATACCTTTTCATTATTGGACAGTTACAACTAGCAAAAAACTGTGGTCCATATCAAATCAAAATCTGCCTCTAAAATTCTCATCTATTTTCTTGATTTCAGACTCTAAAGCATGAGAGAACAACTCCTTATTCCTGAAAATAGCTTTTTACATATTTGTAAACAATTTAACTCCCAGATATTTTCCTTTTTCAGACTGATAACTTTTAAACAACAGAGCATAACTTACTATCCAAAATTTTCTCTAAAGGAATTCTGCAGAATTCTCACATACTTATTTATTTCAGTAAATTCTTAGAAACTGTAACTCATAATTTTTTTAAAAAATTATTTCTTAAACTATGTCAAAACTATTGTCAAAATATTACTCATGGATAGATTTAAATCCATCTTTAAATTTTAGCCATAAGTCACTTTTGTATTTATTTTAATGAATTCAGAAAGGATAAAGGCAGTAATAGCATTAAAGTGGTACTAAAAATAGTATTTACATTAATTCTTTCAGGGGAAAAAGGGAGAAAATATGTAGCAGAGTGAAGTATAACAATATACAAGACAGAATAAATTCCAAGGTAGTGAACCAAGCTCTATATAACTCAGCACCAAAATTCAATAATCATACAAGAGTATTACTTACGGATACAATTCTGAAAGCTGTTCGGCTATTGCATACGCTGTTGGGTCTCTGTCTAAGGCATACAGAGTAATATCTGACTCCTTCTGTAGAATGGCTCTCGTGTGTCCTCCTGATCCAAATGTCATATCTAGAAAAATCTAGCCAACACAGAAAAAGAAAATTACTACCTAACATGAATACTCATTGCTAGCTACATTAATTTCTAAAAGCACATAATGATTTTCAGAGCTGATAGCAAGTGGAAAAACAATTAAAACTGTTTTGCCTAGAGTTCAATTTGTAATACATGAGATCTGGATCAATTATGAGTGACAAGTCTGGAAGAAATGGTCAAGGTATCAGAAAATGATAATCTCTGGCACAGGCTGGCCAATTCAAGACACATTTACATTTCCTCCAAAGGTCAAAGCGGCCACAGCATTATGCTCCTAGCTTTTTAATGCTTTCCAGCACCTGGCTGATAGTAGTATTTCCAACAATTTCTCATTATTTGGAAATAGCTTACAATTAGTATGGCTCACTTTACCTCGATTTTTCTAAATGCTTTATATTACACAGGAAGATATTCAAGAATGCAGAGAAAGAATGAGAGAGGGAGAGGGAGAGAGATGGAGGGGAAAGGAATGAATATACCTAACAATAGTCACAGGACAAATTTTTAAAAATCTAAACTGGAACAGGCTCAAGGCTTAAGTCAAAACAACGAGGATAAATTCTAGCTTTGTCATGAGGTAGCTATATATCTTTGGGAAAGACACTTAAAATTCCAGTGTCTTTAGATTTACCCAGGCTCTGAACAAAAAGAAAGTCAGAAGAAAGAAGGTACCATCAATACCTATCTAACTGGTAAAGTGACATATTAATTGCTCCTATAAACTAAGACACTTTTGAGAGTATAAGATCTTCCAGGAATCATTTCACCAGGCCAACAGGTTATTATGTACAGGGGCACCTATATTTCATGTCTAGATCATTCTAGAAAAATGGTAAAGTTAATTGGTTTTGAATAAACTTCTTGGCTATTTTTCTGGGCCACATTTTTAAGAAAATAGGTCTCAGTTGGGCAAGAAACCAGACCTGGACCATTAGAAACATACTTGTGAATAAGTTCATTGATTGTGGTTGACTTGAAAGTCAAGACACTCGAAGTGTAGTCTGATATGTCCTTTCAAGAAGCTTTACCGGTATTATGAAAATAAAAATAATCATTCCAATCATAAGGAATACTATGAAAAACCACATATGCTATAAACTTTTAAAAATATTTAAACATACAACTTTTCTAAAGTTAATGTGTACATTGCACAAGAAGGGGATATCCTGTAATGGATTTGAACATTTCCCTGCCCTGAAGGCTACAATTTATTTTGAGGAGAGTGGTCAGAAACAAGACACAAATATGCTTTGATTTTTTTGCTACCAGATACCATGCTAAGTCCCATTCTCTGATCAAGTCCTCAAAAACATTAGCCTGTTACTTGAAAAATAATATGGAGGAAATCTTCAGATCAAAAATGAAAAGGAGAGGGATGTAAATTATAAGAGATGTAAATGTGGTGAAAATGTGCAAGCACTGCTTTTTAATGTAAGTATGCAATACAACTTAAGCTTGTACTTCCGTCACTGTCGGCACAAAAGACATGGCTACACACTCTTTTAAACATTATAAACGGTAATGTTAAAACACTTGAATTTATTATTATTATTTTTTTAAGTGAGGCTTGAACTCAGGACTCTGAGATCCAGACCTGAGCCAAGATGGAGTCAGACACTTAGCCGTATGGTTAAGTCTGGTTGTTAAGAGTATGTACTTATAATCTCAAGATCAAATAATTTCCTTTCCCGGTCTGTTATTTTACATATCTATGAATAGGTAAAAATCTCCCACCTTACCATACCTCAGTTTTAAAGTTGCTATGGGTTTAGCATAATTTAAACAAAAAAACTTCTCTAAGGCAAAAGTATAAATGACTTCTTGTTATGCTCCAATATCAAGTCTTGTTATAAGCCTGCACTTAACTAAGAGTATAGCAAATAAAATAATTTGCATATGATTACCTTATCCCAAGCCAGTAAAGTTCCAATCAATAATTAAAAAGAAAAATCCTCATCATTAAAAATATTCTGGAAAGTGTGAGATGATGATTATAATTTACATGATTATTTTTTAATATATCATGATTATGCCCTTGGAGATGTACTGACAATCAGGGAAGTTTCCATGGGGAAAAAAAATTATTACCAGTTAAGTGTAACACAACGCAAAATGGGAAAGTGAGAGACATGGGATTTGTAAAACTACAAGTGAACCCCACCATATGTCCTAGGTTAATAGGTGATTGAAGTCATCGAGACGTTTTAAAATTCTAATATACATTGCTCATTAATGTAGGCCTTGTGAATTAACCAGCACTACAATTGAAAAGGGAGCCAATTAGTCTCTCTCTTCTCCTGAGTCATTAACATGATATGACTACACTTTTAAATTTGTACAAGTTGATGATAAAATAAGACCAGACAAATGCACACGAAGAAATAAATCTGAATGTTTCAAAACAATGCTTCTGTAGGTCTCATCTCCATGTACGCCTGTATATTCATATGTATATGTTATATCCCAGGCACACATGGAGCTCTTTCTTTACAATTACCTGATATGATTTATCTAAAACATAAAACTCATATTTGATACCAAGAGCTTATTCTGACAATGTTACTTTCTCACCTGTATAACCCTAACCAAATTGTGTTAATAACTCTCTGAGCCTCAGCTGTTTCATCTAAGAGGATAAAATGTACCCCCGTTTACTTCACAGATTATCTTATTTCCTCCTTACAACTACAGAGTAGGTGTTATTACATTTATATACATACAGGAATTAAGATTATAGTAAACTAGTAAGTGGCAAATGCAGGAACTAAATACTGGTATATATGGCTCTAAATCTGTTTTTTCCTCCCACCACTCTACTTCTGCATTAAATCAATAAAGTCTGTATTTGCTCAATACCTATGGTTTACCACGCATTAACGTTTTTCCTACTTGGTCTAACAAAAGCTTCGTAAGTTAAGTATGGACAAGTGGCATTATCCCCATTTTTGCAAGTACAAAATTAAAGTGCAGAGAGATAAGGTGACTTGCTTAAAATCCTATTACTAGGAAGCGAGGGCAAGAGAATTCTAAACCATGTGTCACCGACTCTAAATTTCGTGCCCTTTGTGAAAGAAATAAAAAGAAAAGGGAGGGGGGCAAGCAAAAGAGACATAAAGTGGATGGATGGCATAGAAAAAATCATGGCAGAAATAGCTTTAGAAAAATTATACTAGAAAACTTTTTTTATAGATCACTCATTCCCACTGGAACTTAGGCTCTCAGACACCATGTCTTAATCTTTGTGTAGCAAGATCACTCTGGAGACACATGCGTTTCTTTTTTTCTTTCTCTCCCCCCTCCTCCTCCTCTTTCAAGCAGGTGCCTAGGTATTCAGAGCTTTAGAATATATGTTCCTTGAGGACTTCTGTGTGGCACAAAGAAGTAAGTATCTTTCCTATCATCTGGAGACAACCATTTTCCTATCGCTTAGTATTTCTTAAAAAAGCTCAGAAACAATACTAGTGATCCTGGGTAGGTTAGTGTCTTTAAAGAAAAGAGAGAGAGATTTCACTGAAATTGAGGAGAAAAGAGATGGGAATGATCAACAAATTCCATGAAGGTGCAGGGCTAATGAAATGACTGACAGTTGATAGGATCTCAAAGTTGTCTTTTAGGGTGGGCCCTCAACACAGGGCTCCCAGTGCTCCCAGAGATTTCCGTACCCCTCTTTGGCACAGAAGCAGGTCCTAGAGTGTCTTTACAGTTTACAACAAAAGGTATCTCAAGGGGAACTAAGGGTGGAATGAGGTGAGTACTGAGATGCAGGGCCTCCTCATACCCCATGTGGGGTAGAGCACATGAATGAGATTGACGGCTTCTCAGCACAGGGAGATAAGGGCTCAGAATCAAAATGACAGTGACTTAAAGAAAAAAATAAACATTTGAGGGAAGATTCATAACTACAATTCTCTAACTTTGCCTCCACTTTAACAGCATCAGTGCCCAGTAGTAGATGCTTAGTAAATATTTAGTGATGCGATATGAAAAAGGGCTCAGCTTCCCAAGGTAACTCTGATAAAATCAGCAATACTCATTCGTGCACATGGATTTAGAAGTATTCCTCAAGATATCAGGTGCATTGCCACAGGACCACAGGAAATAGTCACAGGGTATCCAATGTTTCGGAATCATTTAACATCAATATGTTTCAAATATCACAAGTTGATTCATTAATGAAAAGAACTTTTTCAGAATATTATGATCTGATATTAATAGTATTATGTAACTCTAATGCACCATGTTCTTATTTGTTGATCAGAATCCTTTACATTTGAAATAAGAAAATGAGAATTTCTCATTTTAGGTAGCTCTTCTAATCAAAAACAACTAAATGACATTGTATCCACATGGTCCTCTACATGCAGAAATGACTAGGTTCCACCTTGAACCGTGATGAGTCACACTTGAAGAGTTGAGCTCCAGCTGGGACTCTGATAATGAACAGGCACAGATGCAGAATGTCAGAGCTGAGGGGGACATAACACACTCTTTATTCCACCTCCTCATTTTACTTATGAGGAGACCAGGGCCCAAAGAGGGCAGAGCTGATACCAAAACGTAGATCCTATGGTCTTTCCACTTTATCTCATAATATTCCTTCACTGGAATTAAACAATCACACTGAAACAAACAATCATTCTTTGAAAAAGTTTTTTTTCTTACTATGAAGACAGATATATGTGGGAACTTTGCACCTTCAGCCTCCAACACAGTTGAAAACAATCACTGCTCTACCATTCTAAATTGTTTTAAGACTTTATGACAATAAATCTGTTGGATTCAACTGCAAAGACAATCATGTTGTATGCGTGGCCTCAGATAAATATGCACCCGTTACGTATAACAGCAGCTGGGGATGACTGACTTCTTGACAGGTTACAGTTTTCAAACTGATCTTGAAATTAAAAACAAAGAATTAAAATACTTAAATCGTAGACCTATGGGTAGGTGGAGCTAGAAGGACCCACAGAAATAATCCAAGTT